ATTTCCTCAAAATATTATAAAATATTTTTGTGTGTAAATATCCAATTAGAAATCTCACACAAAAAAAAAATCAAATAACTTAGTAAATAATTAAAGTTTTAATGGTATTCTTCTTTTGTAGTACAAAAGCCTAAGTTATGTAACCCAAGTGTAGTGAAAGATGGTTTCTGATAAACTAAAGCAATTGGGAATGACCACCACTAATAGTAGTTAATGTATTCACGTTAATGAATCTGTATGACTAACCATCCTGTGTGATGGGGATTTTTAGCATCACGTAGCTAGTTCTTGACACTATATGCGCCCCTTCACATAGTCTAAGATAGCCGCACAAATACAGATGTACAGAAATATGTTAACAAAAAAAAATATTAAGTATGTCGACAAGAAATCTCAAGGTTTATGCCATCGTTAAGTTCGGAAAGAAAGAGTTGGATTAATAGGCCAACTTAGTTGTTATCAAGCTCACTCATTTCTATTTGAACTTGAAACTGCACTCAAAAAGATCAGAGTAACGTCTGGACGATGGCATAAAATCTCCCAGATACTTCTTGCCGACATGCCTAATATTGTTTTTGTTAACACATTTAGGTATACAGGTATCTGCCTATGTGCAGCTAACTTAGACTGTATGAAGGGGCGTTCAGAGTGTGTCAAGAACTAGCTACGTGATGCAAAAAATCCCCATCACACAGGATGGTTAGTCATACAGATTCATTAACGTGAATATATTAACTACTATTAGTGGTGGTCATTCCCAATTGCTTTAGTTTATCAGAAACCATCTTTCACTACACTATCGTAATGGATATTAATAAATTAGGCTTTTCAACGTGGATAAGTTTTTCTTTAGTTTGAAACACGAAGATAAATTACAGAAGCTCATATGAGTTTTTAATTCAAATATGAGATAAGATTTATGACAATGTAGCTGGTTCCAAGCCAGGTTGGCTATATGGTTATCCTAAGGTTTCGAAACAACGTATTCAGATAAGACCATACTCTCTCTCTCTCTCTCTCACCCTTAGCAACGTACAGATCAAATACACACTCTTAATAACATGTTATCTTTAAATTAAAGCGAACAGAAAGACGATTCCGTGCTGTTGAAATGTAAAATATTAATATTATAAAATGATAGCCAATCACAACACTTGTATGGAGCCCTTGTCACTCACTGCACACATCACAACGAGCTCACTCACATCCTAGTTACTAACACCTTAGTTACCCAACACCCTAGTTACCTAGGACCCTCACCAACACCCTAGTTACCTAGGACCCTTCCCAACACCCTAGTTACCTAGGACCCTTCCCAACACCCTAGTTACTTAGGACCCTCACCAACACCCTAGTTACCTAGGACCCTTCCCAACACCCTAGTTACCTAGGACCCTCACCAACACCCTAGGACCCTCACCAACACCCTAGTTACCTAGGACCCTCACCAACACCCTAGTTACCTAGGACCTTTCCCAACACCCTAGTTACCTAGGACCCTCACCAACACCCTAGTTACCTAGGACCCTCACCAACACCCTAGTTACCTAGGACCCTTTTTATATACATACTATATAGATGTCACATCTGTGACGGGGAAAAACATGTTTTTTTTGTTAAACTGTTTTTTTTTTCATGTGAGTGAAATCTTCGAAACCTATTTACCGATTGCTTTGAAATTTTGACACAACGTTGAATTCGAATAGGCACGTGTTTTTGTATACCTACTATATACATGACTCACCTGTGAGTGGGAAAAAAAACATGTTTTTTTTAAACAGTGCCATCTATTGGACGTAAGAGCAACACACACTATACTAGATATGTTACAATTACATTTCATTGTTCCCGATTGCATTAATAGATGAAATTTTCATAAATTTCTATTTATTTTCATTCTGATTTAATTATTTTGTGTGACATTGCATTGGAATTGAGCTGTATTGTTTACCATACCGTTCATTTCGTGAGGATAGTTTATTTTTTATTTTTTTTATTTTTTTCATTTCGTTTTTTAACTGTTCGTCTTATTTATCAGTGATGGGAACATCAGATCATTTGATGTTCCCAATTTTCTGATGGGAACATCAAATCATTTGGGATTGCATTGGACGAGGGAGTTGGGAGGACGAGGGAACAGGTGTGGGGGATGTTGGGGAGAAAGAGGGGACTGGGGAGAGGGGAATGGAAGGGAGGGCGAGGGGACATGGTAGATGGTGGGGAGGATGAGGGGACGATGGAGTGGGGACGACGAAGGGACGGTGGAGTAGGGGAGGTGGGGAGGACAAGGGGATGGGGGAGGACTGAGGGACAGGAGGTTGCAGTGGCTCAGCAACGCGTGGCCGGGTACAGTTAGCATATATATATATATATATATATGTATATATATATATGTATATATATGCGATATATATATATATATATATATATATATATATATATATATATGATGTATGTATATGCGAACAAGCCTGAATGGCTTGTTATACATACATGGCATACAGTTATATATATGTATATATATAAATATTGATTTATATATTTATACATATAAATATATATATATATATATATATATATATATATATATATATATATATATATATGTAATAGTATAATACCTAAAAGGGGTACCACCACCACCTTATGAACCTCACAAGCAATATATATATATATATATATATATATATATATATATATATATATATATATATATATATATATATATTCTGTTGCATATACTCCTGGGGACCATTCAGGCTTGTTTGCATATATATATATATATATATATATATATATATATATATATATATATATATATATATATATATATATATATATATAGATGCATATGCGGAAAATCCACAGAGAAATATGAAATGAGGTGAACGTTTCGGCTTGTTAAAGCCTTTGTCAACACCAGACTGACTCAGTCTGAGTCAGTCTGGTGTTGACAAAGGCTTTAACAAGCCGAAACGTTCACTTCATTTCATATTTCTCTGTGGATTTTCCGCATAAAATGATCAGTGTTTTGTGATCGTCAATTGCATATATGCATATATATACATATATAATATATATATATACACACATACACCTATGTCTCTAATGCAGAATAGCGCCAGTGAAGAACAGAGGTGTCAAAGGCTGAATCAGGGAACACTGCATGAACACCACAGGTCCACGCTTGTTCAATATACTCTCAGCGATTATAAGGGACTATCAGGAGAAAGCGCCAAACCACCACGACTCTATAGCACTTGGAAGGGATCAGGATAAGGATTAGGGATGGGACGGGGGGATGATAAGGAATGGTGCCAACCACTTGGACAGTCGGGGACTGAACTCCGACCTACATGAAGCAAGGCCATCGCTCTACCGTCCAGCCCAAGCGAGCATAAAACATATTGCCGGAACAAAAGTGGACGTCTTCAATAGTAAACTGGATAGTTGTCTGCAACAAGTGCCAGACAAACTGCGTTGTAGTGGATATGTGGCCTGTGGGCCGCTCCAAGCAACAGCCTGTTGGACTAAGGGGTCTGACTTGGGAAGAATGCAATAAATGAAAACTCGTTCGATTTCAATCAAACTTTTTTGACAAGTTGTATATAAAAAGGGTTTCATCTGGTCCAAGTCTCAGCATCATAGCATAAATAGGAAAGAAGAAAAAAAATATTGAATTATGTATCAAAAAAAATTACAAAAATGGTCAAAAACGATTATCAAACAAAAATGTCAACTGAAATCATGCCTATGACTCTCAGCTATCACAATAACATATATTAAAAACAAATTATAATTAGTTTTATTAAAAAAAAAATTGCTCCTGGCCCTGGGCAGGACTTTGCAAGTAGAACTCTCAGTACTCGATCAAGGTACAATGAAGGTTCAATGGTGGGAAAGTTCTCGGCCTGCTAACAGATCTTAGAAGTCGTCTGCTCACCCCAATTTCCACCCTTCCTGGTCTGACTGTGATCTGCTATTTCTGTTATCCTAAACCAGTGTCAACCTCTTCCCTGTACAGACATTAACCCTGTTACCCTGCACATCACAGTGTCAACTTCGTCTCTTTCTGACCTGTTATCCCACGTCAATACCTTCTCTCTGGCCTGGCGCTGACCTGTTATCTGTTATCCTCCACATCAACCTTCTCCTTGGATTTGGCACCGACCTGTGTTCTTTGTTATACAACTTGTCAACCACCTCCCGGGACTGGCGCCAACCTTTATCTCTGTTATCCTAGACGCCACAGCGTCAACCTCCTCCCCCTGCCTGGACTGGCGCCGACCTGTTATCTCTCTGTTGTCCCACGTCACAACATGTCCAGCCAGGCTGGTGTCGTAAACGTCACACACACACACACACAGCACCCAGTAACTGTGCCACAAACCCCCCGACACAAAGCCTCCTCCTCCGACTCCCCACCATCCCTCTCCATCTATAAATTTTCGCACACTCGCCCTAAGTGTGTGTGTGTGTGTATTGTATCATATGTTGACAGCCCTTTGCCACTCACAAGTAGGTAAGGTTTTAATCGTTGTTATGTACATAGAAACAAGACGATGGAATTGTTCGTTTAATATCAGAATGATAGGTGTACTGTATTGATGGAGCGAGTGTTTGTGTCCTGTTGTTGTCTACTGCAGTCTCCCCTCCCTTGACACACGCCGATGTCAAGTGAGGATATTTATATCATTTTCAGACCTAGCACCTCTAATACGTTTTAATTATAGATGGACGAAGGTTTGTATTTATATATGAATCTATTTAAAGTCACTTTATAAAGAAATTCTGAAGTTTATGTAAAGTTTTTGCTAATAAAAGTAACCGAGACATTAGCGGACAGTCTTGTCCGTACAGAACTGTCATCTGGCTACACGATCAGCCCAACCAATAGGAACCTCGCCTCTCCGGCCGTCTACCAATGAAAACCAGGAACTCGTATCGGCGGCCAATCAGCGTCGTGCTATAATTAGGCTAATAGCAGCGAGACGTTTCAGTATGCGTGTAGCAGTGGTGGTGTAAGGGTGTCGACGGTCTCGCTGCCGTCATGCCCGTCTGTGCTTAAGAGAGAGAGAGAATCTTGGAGGTTTTCTAGCAAGATACAATGGATTACTCGGTGCGTGAGGCGTGGCGCAGGACTATGCCGCTCTGTGTCATCTGGGTGTTGGTGCTGCACGTCTTGGGAGACATTGTCGTTGCTAGGGGAGAATTTGTACACAAAAACTTCACTGAAAGCGTCGTGGACACGAGTGCGACGCCCGCCCTGAGGGGAGTCGACGCCAGCGATGACGCCACTGAAGGTGAGCCCAGACGCCAGGGTTTTGAGGCTGGGAACATGACGTGTAGTACTGAGGGTGAGGCTGGGAACATGTAGTACTGAAGGTGAGGCTGGGAACATGTACTGATGGTGAGGCTGGGAATATGTAGTGCTGAAGATGAGGCTGGGAACATGTACTGATGGTGAGGCTGGGAATATGTAGTGCTGAAGATGAGGCTGGGAATATGTAGTGCTGAAGATGAGGCTGGGAACATGTACTGATGGTGAGGCTGGGAATATGTAGTACTGAAGGTGAGGCTGGGAACATGTAGTGCTGAAGGTGAGGCTGGGAATATGTAGTGCTGAAGGTGAGGCTGGGAACATGTAGTGCTGAAGGTGAGGCTGGGAACATGTAGTGCTGAAGGTGAGGCTGGGAACATGTAGTGCTGAAGGTGAGGCTGGGAACATGTAGTGCTGAAGGTGAGGCTGGGAACATGTAGTGCTGAAGGTGAGGCTGGGAACATGTACTGATGGTGAGGCTGGGAATATGTAGTACTGAAGGTGAGGCTGGGAATATGTAGTACTGAAGGTGAGACTGGGAACATGTAGTACTGAGGGTGAGGCTGGGAATATGTAGTACTGAAGGTGAGGCTGGGAATATGTAGTGCTGAAGGTGAGGCTGGGAACATGTAGTACTGAAGGTGAGGCTGGGAATATGTACTGAAGGTGAGGCTGGGAACATGTAGTACTGAAGGTGAGGCTGGGAACATGTAGTGCTGAAGGTGAGGCTGGGAACATGTACTGAAGGTGAGGCTGGGAACATGTAGTGCTGAAGGTGAGGCTGGGAACATGTAGTACTGAAGGTGAGGCTGGGAATATGTAGTGCTGAAGGTGAGGCTGGGAACATGTAGTACTGAAGGTGAGGCTGGGAATATGTACTGAAGGTGAGGCTGGGAACATGTAGTACTGAAGGTGAGGCTGGGAACATGTAGTGCTGAAGGTGAGGCTGGGAACATGTACTGAAGGTGAGGCTGGGAACATGTAGTGCTGAAGGTGAGGCTGGGAGTATGTAGTACTGAAGGTGAGGCTGGGAATATGTAGTGCTGAAGGTGAGGCTGGGAACATGTAGTACTGAAGGTGAGGCTGGGAACATGTAGTACTGAAGGTGAGGCTGGGAATATGTAGTGCTGAAGGTGAGGCTGGGAATATGTAGTGCTGAAGGTGAGGCTGGGAATATGTAGTACTGAAGGTGAGGCTGGGAACATGTAGTGCTGAAGGTGAGGCTGGGAACATGTAGTACTGAAGGTGAGGCTGGGAATATGTAGTGCTGAAGGTGAGGCTGGGAACATGTAGTACTGAAGGTGAGGCTGGGAATATGTAGTGCTGAAGGTGAGGCTGGGAATATGTAGTACTGAAGGTGAGGCTGGGAACATGTAGTGCTGAAGGTGAGGCTGGGAACATGTAGTACTGAAGGTGAGGCTGGGAACATGTAGTGCTGAAGGTGAGGCTGGGAACATGTAGTACTGAAGGTGAGGCTGGGAACATGTAGTACTGAAGGTGAGGCTGGGAACATGTAGTACTGAAGGTGAGGCTGGGAATATGTAGTGCTGAAGGTGAGGCTGGGAATATGTAGTACTGAAGGTGAGGCTGGGAATATGTAGTGCTGAAGGTGAGGCTGGGAATATGTAGTGCTGAAGGTGAGGCTGGGAATATGTAGTACTGAAGGTGAGGCTGGGAATATGTAGTGCTGAAGGTGAGGCTGGGAATATGTAGTGCTGAAGGTGAGGCTGGGAACATGTAGTGCTGAAGGTGAGGCTGGGAACATGTAGTGCTGAAGGTGAGGCTGGGAACATGTAGTACTGAAGGTGAGGCTGGGAACATGTAGTGCTGAAGGTGAGGCTGGGAACATGTAGTGCTGAAGGTGAGGCTGGGAACATGTACTGATGGTGAGGCTGGGAATATGTACTGAAGGTGAGGCTGGGAGTATGTAGTACTGAAGGTGAGACTGGGAATATGTACTGAAGGTGAGGCTGGGAACATGTAGTGCTGAAGGTGAGGCTGGGAACATGTACTGAAGGTGAGGCTGGGAACATGTACTGAAGGTGAGGCTGGGAACATGTAGTGCTGAAGGTGAGGCTGGGAACATGTACTGAAGGTGAGGCTGGGAACATGTACTGAAGGTGAGGCTGGGAACATGTAGTACTGAAGGTGAGGCTGGGAACATGTACTGATGGTGAGGCTGGGAATATGTACTGAAGGTGAGGCTGGGAGTATGTAGTACTGAAGGTGAGACTGGGAATATGTACTGAAGGTGAGGCTGGGAACATGTAGTGCTGAAGGTGAGGCTGGGAACATGTACTGATGGTGAGGCTGGGAATATGTACTGAAGGTGAGGCTGGGAGTATGTAGTACTGAAGGTGAGACTGGGAATATGTACTGAAGGTGAGGCTGGGAACATGTAGTGCTGAAGGTGAGGCTGGGAGTATGTAGTACTGAAGGTGAGACTGGGAATATGTACTGAAGGTGAGGCTGGGAACATGTAGTGCTGAAGGTGAGGCTGGGAATATGTACTGAAGGTGAGGCTGGGAACATGTAGTACTGAAGGTGAGGCTGGGAGTATGTAGTACTGAAGGTGAGACTGGGAATATGTACTGAAGGTGAGGCTGGGAACATGTAGTGCTGAAGGTGAGGCTGGGAATATGTAGTACTGAAGGTGAGGCTGGTAACATGTAGTACTGAAGGTGAGGCTGGGAACATGTAGTGCTGAAGGTGAGGCTGGGAATATGTAGTACTGACGGTGAGGCTGGGAGTATGTAGTACTGAAGGTGAGACTGGGAATATGTACTGAAGGTGAGGCTGGGAACATGTAGTGCTGAAGGTGAGGCTGGGAATATGTACTGAAGGTGACGCTGGGAACATGTAGAGCTGAGAGTGAGGCTGTGAACATGACGTGTAGTATGTTGACCAAACCACACACTAGAAAGTGAAGGGACGACGACGTTTCGGTCCGTCCTGGATCATTCTCAAGACGATTTTAGAATGGTCCAGGAAGGACCGAAACGTTGTTGTCCCTTCACTTCCTTGTGTGTGGTTTGGTCAACATATTTCAGCCATGTTATTGTGACTCCTCGTCTGCGCATGACGTGTAGTACTGAAGGTGAGGCTGGGAACATTTCATGTAGCGCTGAGACCAGAACATGCCTCGGATCACCGAAGGTGAGCTAGACACCAATGAGACAGGGAACGTAACCTGTTTTTCCCTGCACGTTTACGAACTTTGTGAGTAAAAAGTAAAAATACGTACTTAGGCTAGGATACATTTGCTTATCTATGTGCGCATATTGTACATGCAGTACGCCATATCTGTACTGACAGCTATGCATGGAGGTTTCTTAACTTCCATCATCTTCAATTTAGGTTCGCATCACCACTTTCCTTGCTAGTCTACAATACTGTACTCGTGGATTTCCAGCTGCTTTAATACAGACACTCAGACAGATAACCATATGAAGGCTCTGGCACGCAGTTGGTTCCTGGCTCATGTCTTTTATAAAATAATTACTTAACGTTATAGTTTTATTCCTGATGAATACAATCAAAATGAAACAGGTTTATTGAGGTATAAATACACATAAAGGGATGAGATAGCTCAAGGCTTGGGTAGTAGAACAACTCCCAGAGCCCCCATCAAGCAGGTATATTATCACCTTGTTCAGTACAACGTGTTACATTTATGTATGATATATATATAATGTCGTACCTAGTAGCCAGAACGCACTTCTCGGCCTACTATGCAAGACTCGATTTGCCTAATAGGCCGAGTGATTTTCTTTATTTTCAAAATTTTGTTTCCAATTTATTTATTTGAAATATTATTATTATATTATGTTCAGAACATAAATTATTGACTTAGTTATGTTAGTTTAGGTTAGGTTGGATTGGTTAGATTCGGTCATATATCTAAGTTAATTTTAACTCAACTTAAAAGAACTCATGCATAATGAAATGAATAGCTTTATCATTTCATAAGAAAAAAACACGAAAAATATATAAATTCGGGAAAACTTGGCTTATTAAGCAAATCGGGCCTTGCATAGTAGGCCGCATACTGCATTCTGGCTACTAGGTACAACATATTATATATGCAACAATGATCACAAAAACACTGATCCAAGTATGCAGAATAACCACATGTGAAAAATAGATGAAAATAGATAAAAATGTGCATTCTACTTTGCTCTGATGAAGGCTAATTAGCCGAAAACGCGTTAAGCGTTCTCTATTTTTCACATGTGGTTATTCTGCATATATATATATATATATATATATATATATATATATATATATATATATATATATATATATATATATATATATTCACCCTAAGAAAAGAAATGTTGAATAAAAACACTTGTATAATAGACAAAACCCAAGATGTAAGAAGATTACAAATTCTTGAAGCAATCCACATAAAAATAGAACAACTCACCATGAATACCCAAATTACGAAACTATTCACTCTACCCATCATGAAGAAGTCACTGCTCAACATGCCACGCCCACTACACCTGATTAATCTTTGCATGTGTTTCGTACTCTATTTTGCTTTGTTCTTCTCTTTTCTCCTTTATGCCTTATTCTTAATCCATCTGTATACCCCTATATAATCCATTGTTCGATCCATTTGTCTACACCTGACCCCATTGTTCGTTCCATTTGTCATCATCTGACCCTTTAATGGTATAAATACAATATGCCCTATGCTGTCACATCACTTGAGAATGAACCATGTATGTTCGAAATGTTGTGTAAATTTATAATAAGTGTAATACATTCTACAGTTATTTATTTCTTTTCCTTCACCTCGAACGAACATGACTTTTTAAGAATTCCTCTTCCAATTAAACCCAGATGCAAGAGCAATAGTCAGAGGGATAGAATCCCCTAAATATGAAAACAATTAATACAGAATATGCAGCCATATTCAATGAAAGATGTATAAATAAAAACTTACTGCCAGTCGAAAAACTTGAGATAAGGATA